TGAATGGATGCATTGGAAGCAACAATTCAAATGAAAGTCCTATTCTTTTAACATTCAGTTCATGTAGATTAAACATTAATTCATTGATTGACATGTGTTCAAATTTAATTAATGTTGAAAGTTGAGCGTTGGAGATGCTCTTAAAGAAACATAAAGTAATAAATTATAATCACTATTATCTGTACAAAATAAATTCATAAAAATGAAAGTATTAACGGCGTGGTTGATATAAAATAAATCCGTTAAGAACATAGTTTTATTGGTTAATCAAGATTAATTTTGAAAATTGTAGTATGATTAGTTGTTATTGAAATTTAAATTTATATTAAAATAATATTAAATTATTAAAATTGATTTAATGTAAAGCTTGGAAAGTCTCATTGAGTTCCCAGCTTGGCATAGTTAGAACTCCCTTCAAAAAGTTGAAAGCCGATCGTCTGCTAAAGCTTTAGAAGCTGAGGGCGGTTCGGGTTTTCGATCGTACCTTTTGGGGACGGGAGTGCTTGGTCGTTGGGGTTTCCTTTTCCTCAACCAATTCCTAAATTACATCTACCCTCTCCTTTCCGGTTGAGTGACTTCACTTCGCTCTCCCAATGGTGCTAGAGTCGAGGTTTAAAGATCTCGACTGTGAAGGAGACAAAACCCATTCCCGTCTGAGTAGAGACTTCTTAAATTTCTGGATTATATATCATATATTTATGTAAGATTAGCCGCGAACTAAGATAAGCCAATTGTTCTAGGAATGAACTCCTTTCACCCAAACTGTCGGGCATACAACGATGGAGCGTAACCTGTGCAACCCCTCGCGCCATGTGTGCGGTACTCAAGTGAGTGATTCTAATCAGAAGCCCCCTCGGACCCTTTCCTATTTTAATAATAAGGTAAGCTACCTAGGCCTTCGTTCTCAAATCCAACTCTATTATTCGCTTAGTCATTGTACCGAAGTCGAGTGCTACCACTGACTTTGAATGGGTCTCCTCCTTTTCTAAGCCATTTCTAGATCCGAGATCATCTGGGACATACGTTCCATTTCTGGTTTCCTTCCAAGCTACGACTTAGGAATCTTCTGTAGCGAAGTCAGTTCCGGCTGTTAAAATTAGATCCGCTTGTCTAGGACTCGATCTTGGTACTAGTCCATAACGATCAAAGTCAAAACGGATTGGCACAACTCACTATCCACATTATGATTAGTTATATTAAAATAATATTTAAATCTATATTAAAATAATATTTAAAATAAAATAATTAAGTTTTATTTGATGTAAAAGTATAAGAGATATAATGTGAAATGAGGTTAGTTAAAATTATGTGAATGAATGAATAGTGAATTGACGTTGATGTGATATGTAAAAATAATTGATTAATATTATTTAATTATATTGATAATATTAAAGATAGTGAAATTGAGTTGAAGTTAAGTTAGATGTTGAATATTAAATGAATATGAATAATAGTACTTCAGGTTCACTTATATATTTATATATAGAATATCATCTATTCAAGGTGTTTAAGTTAGAGCATCAACTACAATAATCCTACATACTCCCTCCTATTCATAATAAGTGTCGTTTTGGAAAGTTGCACACTAATTAAGAATAATTTTTTTGCCAATAATAACCCTCATTAATGAAGATAGAGATGGATGTTTTAAAAAAAAAAGATGAAGAGAATATGAAAAGACGTAGTGTATTTATTAACTAAATGAGGGTAATAATGGAAAAATATGTACAAAAGATCCAAAACGACATTTATTTTGGTTAATAGTTGATAAAGCCAAAATGACATTTAAAAAGAATAGGAGGTAGTAATTACTTTGCCATTGGAAAATGCCATTCATAATTATCACAATTATATAAATTCTATGCAATGTATTTCCTTGGGCTTTGTAATAATAAGGAAGTTCTGCAAAAGAAATGGAGTATAACAGAATTATACTCTCAGTAGGCGGTAGTTGATTCACATTTAATGTATGTATTTACTTTCAAATTGATAACAAAAAACATTTTATTAATTCTGGCATCTACATTGAGTTTATGATAATGTCCGAATTTAACAAACAATAACTTTTATGCTCCCAAACCGACGCTATTTATTACAATTGAAATCATAATTCATTTGGTTCATGCTCAGTAATCACAATGTTTTGTACTTTTGTTCTATATATCGTATCCCATGGATTAAAAGATATATTATTGGTGTTTAATCAAATATTTTGCCAACAATTATATCACTTATTTTGTTTCAATGACATTCAAAATCATTATATTATACTAATGAAACTTATTTTAAAAAGTATAATTTTATATTTTTATCGTCAATTATATTTTTTAAGTTATGTATTATTATAATGTATAAATTTAATATTTATCTAACTGTAATTGAAAGTTTTAGTTATGACTAATTATATACTATAAAATAAATAAATATATTGGTATACAAATGCCAGAAATTGTAATAATTGTATTTTTTTTTTCATAAATTGTAATAATTCATCCTAGTTAAATGATATTATTGCATATAAATTTTATTTAGTTTAATATAATGAAATACTGCAATTTGTCTAACTAATTTGATGTCAAGTTTGAAAAATATCCGCACTCGAACTGCTTTCAGTATTCGAAAACATGGAGAAAAGAGAGAGAAGACCGATATTAAAAAAAAATATTTATTTGATCTTTTTACTTACATATCCAGCTTCAGTAACACACATCATGTCACCTCTATTTATAAACCAAAATGCCAGCAAAGCTTTTTCTCAATCCAAACCCATCATAAAAAAAATGTCTTAATTAATTCAATTTATCAGTCTCAATCTCAATCACTACACTCTCACTCCAAATCACCTACGGCATTCCCAACGCCACTCCACAGCCGGCAAAATGTTGCTCCGCCACCACAACCACCGCCTCTTCTCCTTCCTCCTTATTCTTCTATCCCCTCCTCTTATTATCTGCCTCAACCAAGAAGGCCTGTATCTTCAGCAGGCCAAGCTCGGCTTCGAAGACCCAAACGGCGCCCTCTCCGACTGGAACTCCCGTGATCCCACCCCCTGCAACTGGAACGGCGTCGTTTGCGACTCCTCCACCGGCTCCGTTTTGTCGCTGGACCTCTCCAGCTCCAGCCTCTCCGGCCCCTTCCCTTACATTATCTGCCGCCTCAAGAGCTTATCCTTCGTTTCCCTCTACGACAATTTCATCAACTCCACTCTGCAGGGGGACCAGCTCGCCCTCTGCCACTCGGTGGAGCACCTCAATTTGGGGCAGAACTACTTAACCGGCGCGCTTCCCCCCAAGCTAGCGGATCTCCCGAACTTGAAGTACCTCGATTTGACCGGAAATAACTTCTCCGGCGTAATCCCCGACAGTTTTGGGACCTTCCAGAAACTCGAGGTGCTCTCTCTGGTGGAGAATTTGTTGGAAGGTACGATTCCGGCGTCTCTTGGGAATGTGTCGACGCTTAAGCAGCTGAATCTGTCGTACAACCCGTTTTCTCCGGGTCGGATCCCGCCGGAGCTGGGGAACCTTACGAATCTGGAGGTGCTCTGGCTGACGGAGACGAATTTAGTCGGTGAAATACCTGATTCTCTGGGTCGACTCGGTCGACTGACCGATTTGGACCTGGCTTACAACTCACTCACCGGTCCGATACCGAGTTCGATCACCGAGTTGGCCAGCGTCGTCCAGTTAGAACTGTACAACAACTCGCTGACCGGCGAGTTACCCAGCCGTGGTTGGTCGAGGATGAAATCGCTGAGGCGGCTCGACGCATCGATGAATGAGTTGACTGGGACGATCCCGGTCGAGTTGTGCGAGTTGCCGCTCGAGTCTCTTAATATCTACGAGAACAACCTGCGAGGTGAACTACCGCCCGCCATTGCTGATTCTCCCAACTTGTATGAACTGAGGCTTTTCGAGAACCAGTTATCTGGAGCGTTACCTCCGGATCTCGGTAAAAACTCGCCGTTAAGGTGGATTGATGTCTCAACCAACAAATTTACCGGTCAAATACCAGATGGGTTATGTGCTAAAGGGGCTCTTGAGGAGCTTCTACTGCTTGATAATTCATTTTCCGGCGGAATACCGGCGGCTCTAGCCGAATGCCGGAGCTTGTTGCGGGTGAGATTAGCGCACAACAGCTTCTCCGGCGAGATACCGGCGGGATTCTGGGGACTTCCGCATAATTCTCTGCTTGAGCTCACAGGTAATTCTTTTTCCGGCGGAATCGCAAAAACAATCTCCAGTGCCTCCAATTTGTCTCAGTTGATATTATCTGGGAACAAATTCTCCGGCAGCCTACCTGAGGAGGTTGGGTTTTTGGGTAATTTGCTTGAAATTTCTGCTAATGATAACAAATTATCAGGCTCTTTACCAAGTAGCATTGTGAATCTTGGCCAATTAGTTAAACTAGATCTTCATAATAACCAGTTGTCCGGTGAGCTTCCCAGTGGGATTCATTCTTGGAAGAAGCTAAACGAGTTGAATTTAGCTCAAAACGATTTTTCCGGCAACATTCCTGACGAGATTAGCGATTTATCAGTTTTAAATTACTTAGATTTATCCGGAAATCAATTCTCCGGTAAAATTCCACTCGGGTTGCAGAACCTGAAGCTTAATCGCTTCAACATGTCAGATAATCATCTCTCGGGCGATATTCCACCTCAATATTCAAAATCAATGTATAAAGATAGCTTTTTAGGAAATCCAGGGCTTTGTGGGGATATTGAAGGTCTTTGTGATGGAAAAGACGAAGTAAAACACATGGGCTACGCGTGGATGTTGAGATGCATTTTCGTATTTGCTGTTTTGCTCCTTATAGTTGGCCTTATATGGTTCTACTCCAAGTACCAGAAATTCAAGAAGGCCAAATCAATGGAAAAAAAATCGAAATGGACACTCATGTCCTTTCACAAACTCGGATTTAGCGAGAACGAGATATTGAATGCCCTTGATGAGGACAATGTGATCGGAAGTGGCTCGTCGGGCAAAGTCTACAAGGTTGTGTTAACAAATGGCGAGGCAGTTGCCGTGAAAAAGCTCTGGGCTCGGCCAAAGTTTTCTGACGCGAGCAATCATGACTTGGAGAAAGGAAGTTCGAATTTTTCGAATGACGGTTTTTGTGCTGAAGTCGAGACGCTCGGAAAAATCCGACACAAGAACATCGTGAAGCTGTGGTGCTGTTGTACCACAAAAGACTGCAAGCTTTTGGTGTATGAGTACATGCCTAACGGCAGTTTGGGTGATTTGCTGCACAGCACGAAAAGCGGTTTGCTCGATTGGCCGATCAGGTTTAAGGTAGCCATGGATGCTGCTGAAGGGCTTTCATATCTTCACCATGACTGTGCACCACCGATAGTTCATAGGGACGTGAAGTCGAATAATATATTGCTCGATGCAGATTTTGGTGCCCGAGTTGCGGATTTTGGTGTGGCTAAGGCGGTTGACGTGAATGCCAAGGGGACAAAGTCGATGTCGGTTATTGCTGGGTCTTGCGGCTATATTGCACCAGGTTTGTTTTTAGCTATAAGCTAGCTTATTTGATTAAATTATAAGCTTTCTGTATTTAAATAATCTTGGTTTGGTAGGATGAACTATTTTTTTAAAAAAACTCGAGCTTATCTCATAAGTTTTTTCTTGGGTAGTTTTTCAAATAAGCCAGCTGAAATTTCTATTTCAGGTAGTTTATCAACTAATTTACCAAAACACTTTTATCATATAAGTTAACTTTTCAGCCATAAATCATAAGCTATCAGCTATAAACTTAAAATTCACTTATTAAAAACTATAAATTAGCTTATCAGCTAGGATTACTACTATGATCTTTTTGCAATTCGGTAGTTAGTATGAGATGAGACGAGTAAAATTACGTGAAGTTACATTCTTTTGGTACTGTTTAGCATCTTTGAACTAATTTAGTTAGTTGAAAGAAGTTATCTAGTTTCCCTTTTTTTTTTTGGATTTTTTCAGAGTACGCATACACGCTAAGGGTGAACGAAAAGAGCGACATATACAGTTTCGGGGTCGTAATTCTCGAGCTGATCACAGGGAAACGCCCGGTGGATCCCGAATTTGGAGAGAAGGATTTGGTCAAGTGGGTGTGCACCACACTGGATCAGAAGGGCGTGGACCATTTGATAGACCCAAAACTCGATTCTTGTTTTAAGGATGAAATATGCAGAGTCCTCAACATAGGCCTTCTCTGCACGAGCCCGCTTCCCATCAATCGCCCTTCAATGAGACGTGTGGTCAAGATGTTTCAAGAGATTGGCTGCGGAAGTCAACCCAAAGCCACCGGTAAAGACGGTAAATTGACGCCTTATTATTACTATGAAGATGCGTCTGAACATGGGAGTTTACCTTAAATTCGAGGAATGCTTGTTTTTTATTAGGTGGCTAGTTGATTTTTATTTTTGTTTACGTGGGTAAACAGAGTATAAGGAAAAAAAATACAAGTGAAAAGATGAGAATATGTTTGCATTTATAGCTTCTGTGAAGTGTGCGCCATTTGGAATCAGTATTAAATTGACAGTGACTGTTTTACATAGCCTTTGTTTTTTGGGTTATTTTGGTGCCTTCAATGGTAAGACAACTCTGTGGCATACTTGAATGCGTATTCAATTTCCCCGTGATATATATTGTGTATGTCCCAAAATCAGTTCACCATTGGTCACTTTTTTAAATGGAAAGTAAACGACGTAGATAGATAATAGTATTAAGATTACTATAATTTTTTTAACGAAATTCTCAATGTACAATGTTTGTTATCTTAAAATATATTTTTTATTTTCAAAATGGAAATTAAAATATTATTTAATTAGCCAAAGTTGAATGTTACTAAATAATTGGTGTGCTTATATTTTGATAGATAAATTATGCAAATAAATAATAGTTTTAAAACAAATTTCTCCATGCATGTATAGTTGTATACACAAACCAGGGTTTTTTTCTTTCGCCTGGACCAGCCCGGAACCCAACCGACCCTGAGTTAGGCCCATTCCGGGTGGTTCATTCAAACCGGTCAAACCTGGAGTAACCTGGTCAAAACCAAGACGACCGACCAAAATTCAGACGACCCGTGAATTGACCCGACCAAGTCAAACTGGGTGTGACCCAATCGATTTATTTATTATTAATTATTTACTGAAACATTTTTATTTTAATATAAAATTATGTGAATATGTTTATGATGATATATAATACTATTAAGATTTTGAAATATAAAAATTATATATAAATCATTTATTTTAATATTTTTAATTATGCATTTATTTTTTAGAATTTAAAATATATCTGTATATGTTTATAATTTATGTAGTAAATTTTTGAGTTGAGGAGACAATAATTAAAGATTTTGAAGTGTAAACTTATTGGGCTCATTATTTTATCTTGATTGGGGCTTTGAGTTAGTAGGCATATATTGGGTAGGAATTTTTTCTAGCCCAGTCTGTATCCTAGACATGCAAAAGCAGTATGGGCGGCCCAATAAACATGAGCCAAGAGCCAACGCTACAATTGTATCATGCTCGAATTTGAGAAGGATAATTTTTAAATTACATGTTAGTTCTTATGTTTGGCTCCAACTAGATGTCTTTGATTTTACCCCTCAAACTATATTTAAAACATAATATCTCATGGTTTGTCCAAATAGGGAAGCAGCATGTATCTCCACCAGACTGATTAATCGAGAAACTTGACATCTCAAATTTGAACTCGAGTTGAGCTCAAGTCTATAGTATATACGCTTGACTGATGAACATAAAATTACCTAAATATATTAAATTAGTAATTTTAATTGAAATTTTGAGACGAACTCAAACAAAATCCGAGTAGACCAAATTCAAGCTGATTGCGAGCGTTTGCATTTTCCTTATCGAGTTGAGTAGAGCCTTAAAATGTTCGTCTCAGTCGAGCTCGAGCAACAGTCACTAAATCAAGGCTAGCACGATAAGAACAATGCTCGGCTTTATTCGACCAATTTGTAGCTCTAGTCCCTACCTTTTATTCGAAATATCGGCAAGAAATTCTAAAAGATCGTAACTCAATGTCATCTAAATCATAAAATTGACAAGTGCTTTCAAAATTCATGGAAAGACAAATAAAACATCATTTTAGACAATGGTGATAGACATGTGGGCTTATTGACAACAAACCACAAAAACCAAAAATGTAAGAATCATTTTGTGAAAAAAAGTAAAATGCCTCAACCAATTACAATTCGTGTTATATATCTTGTTAATTGAGTTAAAATTTTGCATTTGGTTAGATTTGTTGGATACGTAAGTTAGGGTAAACAAGAAAAAGATGAGGGCATTATAATGATTTTATTTTGAGTTCGCTACAACACTCTCTTTACAAGATGTCTTTGATCTTGTTATTCTCTCTTCTTCCTTATTCCCCATAAACTAATATGATATGTATTTGTACTAGGCCATGGAGTATTCTAGATACTAAGATACATGAAGATTAAAAGATAATTCATGGCCTTCAAAATACTCTATTTACTTAAAATTTTGACTTAGTATATAATATTTGAATCCAATGATTCTATCATTGATCAAAGATTGCAAATTAATTCTTCATTTAACAGAATTATTGTTAGACATACATTGCAGCTATATAATTTTAACAAACATGCAAAATTTCATATACAATGACATATTTTAAAAACAATATAAACAAAATTTGTCATTTTATTACAATAAAAATGTGCATTTGTTTTTTTTTTTTTAAGAAAAAAGAAAATGAGGCCCGAAAAATTAGGAGGTGATGAAAATCGGGCTAATTTACATAACTAAGAGCAACTCCAACAAATCCCGTAAACTATCCCTAATTCCCTATTAGGGTTAAAACACAGAAAAATTGTCCTCCAACACATCCCGTAAATCTTCCCCATTTTTTCGCCCTCCCCAATCTCGAGCTCCTTGCCGCGGATATTTGCGCGGTGCCGATTCCTTCCCCAATCGCCCCCTATTTCCATTCCCGCGCTATATGATCCATTCCCGCGATATTTATCAAGCCTCGCTCATCAGTTCGAGGAAGGCCCAGAGGGGAAAACAAGCATCGGCGGCGGCGCGAAAGGGTTGCAGATGCAACCACCAATCGATCCCAGCCGGCCAAAGCAACAGCGGCGCGGCGGCCAGGAGATGCACCGGGTCATGGCCGCCGGCAGCCCCAACTCCCAATTGAACGACGGCGTCGGCCAGACAGGTAGAGTTGAGATGCGAAGTGAGGTGCAGGGTCGACTACCACCATGTCCTCCGATGGCAGGCCTTTTTGCCGGAGACAATGATGATCCTCTGGCGAAGCCGTACTCTTGCAGCTACGCCCCCTCTGCATCCTTTGAGGACATGGCCAACGACAACACTTTTCTAAATGGTATGAATCTCATAACCTGTAATCATATGCATCACCCTTTACTTTTTTTTTTCTTTCTTTTTATTATTGTTACGATTATTTCATCAGTATTGCAATTTGCACATCTGGGTTTTGCTTTATAGGAATGCAGTTTATTGTTTAGTGCAATTCATTAGCATGTGTCACACTTGGTGTACAGTTACTGGAAGATGTTTTCTATTAGCACTTTCCGAAAAATTCAGTTCCCTCTTTCTTGGTGGTTTTCTAGCCAAGTTGTGCTTATTTCACTCTTGTTACTTCTGCTTGTGGAAATTTCCAGCCTCGAAAATAAGAATGGATGTATTGGTTGCTATAATAAGGGTAAATTGTATATATAGCAGTAGAAGCCTGTATGTGCATAAAGTGGAAAAAATGAAGTTATGTGACTTTCTACTCACAAATAATCCTTAATTAGTTCATTTTTAATCTTCCTGTGGCTAGTTTGTGGTCGCTGAGTAGGAGTGATTTCATTGTATCGTGTTCTGTTCAAAGCATTTTTATTAGTAAACTTGAGCAAGGATGTAGCACGTTCTAATTGGAAAAAGTGACAGTAGCATTTTCAGTTGTGGTAAGGTTTCTACTCAAGGGAATATTTTCAATTTGACTTTCTGTTGCATCTAATATGTAGTTCACTTTTGGAGTATGTTTAGCAATTTTCATATGACTGGAACAGCACATTATGTCTTACCTTTGTTTTTTAAGAAATTTGCTTGTGAAATGGTACATATCTTGGAGTCTTGGTTTCTATAATGATTTCAGTTAGCTTGCTACTGTTCAGTGATCTGTAAAAGCAAATCTTTGATAATGTGTTGTTGATCTGTTAAAAAATGTGGCCATAGCCCATATCTGTTCGTTCTGTCTTTAGGCTTTGGATGAAGACTTATAACTGGTTAAATGCTTGCAGGAAATGGATATTTTTCCAACATGATGGTTGAAACCAATCTAGGGGATTTTGATAATTATAGCAACACGAATGCTGACCATCAGTCACAAGCAATGCAAGTTAGTCCAGCAGTCCCCTCTGCGAGGCCGAACCATAAGAGATCAAAGAATTTCAGTGACCATGAAGATGAGGTTTTGGTTTCAGCGTGGCTGAATATAAGTTTGGATCCGGTTGTAGGCAAAGATCAAAAAGGTGGCAGGTATTGGTCTCGTATCTGTGACTATTTCCATGAGCATAAGACGTGCCAATCAACGCGTACCATTAATTCTCTAATGCACCGGTGGGAGACCATACAGAAATGTGTGAACAATTTTTGTGGATGTCTAACACGGATTGAGTTAAGGCGTCAAAGTGGTACTACAATGCAAGACAAGGTAATTACTCACTTGTCTAAGATGGATTTGTTTCGACTATTTTTATTATATCTCATAAATGAATATCCCTTGGATGTTGGTGTGTGCAGGTTGCAGAGGCATGTGCTTTGTACAAGGCCGAAGACCAACATAACAAAGCATTTCAGTTCATGCATTGCTGGAATAAGCTGAGAACACAACCAAAATGGCTTGCTAAACTTGATGAATTTGCTGCTGCTAAAACATTTAACAAGAAGCAGAAGTCAAGGCCTACTGCTGATCCGAGTGCAACTTCACCAAGTGAAGTAGGACAAGATGCAGTTGAAGACTTAGATGCTAATGCATTGACAAGGCCAATTGGTAAGAAGAAGGCAAAAGCAGCATTGCTGCAAGAGAAGAAAAAAAGTGTGACAGCAACCTTAGAAAATATGTGGGCACAGTTAAAAGAAACTAATGGGGAGAAAGAGCTAAAGAAAGATCAGAGGTTCAACAAAGCATTTGCTCTTGAACAGGAACGAGTTGCAAATGAAAAACTACTTCTTGAGGTGAGGAGTCAGGAGGTCCAATTACAGAGGAAGAGGGATGAAGAGAGGATTATGACCATGGACCTTAGTGCCATGCCAGATGAGCAAAAGAAATACTACATGTGCTTGCGGGCTGAGATCATGAGCCGAGTATTTAATTAGAATTCTATTCTCCTAAATAGTACTAGTAGCTACTGTGATGTTTTTTCCCCATATGTTACTGTGATGTTTGAAATTAATTTGTATTTGAATCTTCTAAAGAGGCATTGAGTTAGTGATTAGTCATTTAATACTCAAATTTAAAGTCATTTTCCAGTAATTCCAGTTCAGACGTCAAATATTTTGCTTAATCAAGAGCACTTAGGAAACAGTAGAACTCACAAAAGTAATTTCAGTGCTAAAATAAAGTTTAAGTACATTGTATAAACTTTTTAAACCTGTCAGGCCTTCTGCTATACTTATGATACTTATATTACAAACAGTATTCATGGATTCTAATACTCAGCCATTAATCCTTTATCTATCCATTTGATACCATTAACCATGTAGGAATTAGGAACTACATGGTTACTATAATCCATCATCCCGAGAATCAATATGTCACTACATAATTTTAGTACCTAACCCCTCATATTATCCACAGATGCAAGGATTATCTTCAAGTACGCTTTTATAGGTATAAAAACAGCAAATACATAACAAAGTAGAAACAGCATGTTTGAGAGGTAATCTCAAAGTAAAGAAGTTTTGAAATGTTCATTCTCAAAGCACAAAAATATGGCCACATCACACCACAACAAAAATAATCAATCAAGCAGAAGCAAATAATGATTCTCATGAATAACATTATCTCAAGTACAAAAAAATTATTATGTATCCATAATGAATGAAAATAGCGAATAAATATTAACTATAGGTAGTCATTTGTACAGGTCGGGATGATGTTGCCACAGGTGCTCAACGAGGTCATCGCGAAGTTGACTGTGAATTACTCTGTCCTTTATATTTTTGTAATTCTTAATAAACTCCTCAAGTTTAGGTGTCGCACAATAAGACATCTTCACATTTTCGGTTACTCCATCAAAAATTAAATCATGTTCCTCATCGCGCTCATCCTCAACTATCATGTTGTGCATAATGACACAAGCTCGCATGATATTTCCGAGGGTGTCTTCATCCCAAAATCGAGCAGGTCCCTTGACGATTGCGAAACGAGCCTGTAGAACCCCAAACGCTCGTTCAACGTCCTTCCTACAAGCTTCTTGGGCAGTAGCAAAATATTTCTTCTTATTACCTTGTGGTTCAGGTATGGTCTTCACAAACGTAGCCCACGAGGGATATATGCCATCAGCGAGATAATAACCCATTGTATATTCGTTGTTATTAATACTATAATTCACCTTTGGAGCTTGACCTTCAGCTAGCTGTGCAAATAAAGAAGACCGGTGCAAAACGTTGATGTCGTTGTGGGAACCAGGCATCCCAAAGAAAGCATGCCAAATCCAAAGATCTTTATCGGCCACAGCTTCAAGTATAATTGTAGGCTCATGCACATGCCCGGTGTACATACCTTGCCATGCTGAAGGACAATTTTTCCACCTCCAATGCATGCAATCAATCGAGCCAAGCATACCAGGAAAACCTCTACTCTCTCCAATTGCTAGTAACCTAGCTGTATCATCTTCATTAGGTGATCTCAAGTACTCATCTCCAAAAACCTCCACTACAGAACTGACAAACCTTCTCAGACTCTCAATAGCAGTACTCTCGCCAATACGCACATAATCATCTGTAGCATCAGCTGCTATTCCATAAGTTATCATCCGGAATGCTGCAGTGATCTTTTGCAGACTAGACAGCCCAAGTATACCGGCAGCATTTCTTTTCTGTACGAAATATTGATCATGTTGTTCTACGGCATTCCATATGCGTACAAACAGTGTACGCCTCATTCGAAACCTGTAATTCAAAAGTAATGAGACACATATATATGGATTTATAAAAAATAAAGTCCAAATAAATCTATTGTTTACATACCTTCGTCTAAAATAACTATGCCCGTACGTAGGATCATCTGAAAAATAATCTTTGTACAACCTATGATGTCCTGCGTGTCTGTCTCGCTCAAGTACTCGATGCCCTAGGATAGAACCACGATGTTTTGTTTCATCGTCAGACTCATCGGCATTCATGGCCACATGAGTAACAGAGAGGAGGAATTCATCAGCGTCATCATCTGACGACGAACTCATCACCAGCTGCATGGAAAGGCTTCGTCGACTCATACCGAATCCGTTTTACCTATCTCCCGACAACTCCAGCGAAGACGTCAAGCTCCTAGCGGCGGCGGCTGTGGGGGAGTTTCTGTGCGGGGAGTTTCTGTGCGTGTGCAATGGGCCCAATTACAATGACGTAGCCTGTTTTAAAATATTAGGGACTAGTTATTAGCAATCTGCTGTGGGATGAGGGAAATTTTTTTTAGGGAGAGCCCCAATACATTGTTTTGGGGAAGAACTTTTTAGGAAACTCTTGGAGTTGCTCTAACCACCTCAAATAAAAATATTCTGCAAAAGCGGTGGATTAGAAGGAATTCCATAAAATGCTTGATTCTTATAACCGTTTACAAACCGTCAATATAAAAAAACCATCAAAATAAAAAGAAAATGAATAATGAATAAAAGATACATATAAGAATTTCAAAAATTAAACTGTTATTTTTTTCTTATTTTTTTTTCTCTTTTTCTTTTATTTTGCACGTCTTCATCTCATCTTCTTCTATTTCTTCTTCTTTTCTTCTCTTCTTTTTCTTTTTCTTCTTCTTCTTCTTCTTCAAAATGAATGCATAAGAAAAGCAACACAAATATTTGTTATTGTAACTTACAAAATGAATAATATATATTATTAAAAGGCTAGACGAAACTTAGCATAGACGAAACTGGTATAAAGATTCAAACAAATATGATGAACAAATTCACCAACATACCATTAAGGAAAGAGCTGCCCACTCTATTATTATGGTGCTTGTTGAATAAATACATTTCGCCAACAGTCGTCATCACATTGGTTATATTTTTTAGATCGTAACCATGGCAACATTAATGTATTTCAAGGAGACTGAAAATGGAAATAACAACTACCAATACAAAATTCTGCAAGAATAAAAAATTATGTTATCAGTCATTTAAAACAAAGAATTTTTTTGATATATACTAAACATTAAAAACAACTATATGTAAACATTAAAATATCAACCTTTTCGAAAAANGAAAAAAATCAGCATTATCTTTTCAGAGCTTCTTCGGCAACCCGGGGGAACGTGTTCGACCTGTTTTCACTGGACATCAGGGATCTAATTGAAGGCTTCCCCTTCTTCAGTGCCGTTGCAAATCCGCCAAAAAGAAGGTATAAATGGAAACAGAAGAGACAATTTTATCTAAATAATAAAAGAAATAATTATGTAAACTCTCTAAGCAAACAGATAGAAGGTGTCATTCATTCCGAAAATCGTCTAGCTTGAGCCCGAAAATTTTTATTTCAGGCCCTAGAAAACCTCTTACTTCGGCCTGGTGGGCCCAATATGTCTCCTATCACGTTGCACAGTGGTTTTAGTACATCATATTATGTAAATCATTCATTTAATAATTTATTTAAACTAATAATTCTTTGTGATGATACGCCGAAAGCACATTAGGGACTCTCAATTCCAAATTTCAAATTTGGTTAGATGGAGGTAGATATTCGCTCATGTTAGTTTGAGATATACAATTCTTATCACACCTCATACATTTATCAAATTAATTCAACATTTTTTTTTTACTCCATCAAGCCTAACCACTTTGAACTAGAACAAAGCAAAATAGAGTTGAAAAAAAAAAAGAACACAA